CTCATATTCCACTTCTCAGAATTCTCATATTCACGTATTCCACTTGATTATGTTTCAGATCCATTTATTCATTTCAATAAGTAAGTTAACTTTTAAACAAGTTTCATAGCTTGTATTTTTTTTAGCCTTGCCTCTAAGGATGATACAAGTGTGCACATTTAGCCATATTTGATCAAACACAAAAGTTGAAAACAAATCACAATGGATCACATAACATAATTAATGACCCATACAAGTCATGAACGTGTATAAAATATTGTATTTTAAATACTTTCGAAATATTTTATAATAAATATTTTTGATTTTATATATAAAAAAAAAATAGAATTAAATTAAATTAAAAAATATTCTTAATATTTTTTACAAATTTATTTTAAGCATTAAATACAAAAAAATATTTTTAATTATTCAAAAAATATTTTAATTTTATGGAAAATCAAGAAAAGTTCAGGGACCATTTCCAATTTTTTAGAATTGCAATTGGGTCCCCGCAAGTGCCCTCATGTGTGGGACCAATCTGCAATTTTTTTTTTCAAATTAATTGAAAAAATGATGAGCCCCCAAGCGCAGACGCGCTACGCATGCCACACCGTCCTTGAATTTTTTTGATTGGTCATTCCGACTAATTTCGACATTCTGAGTTCATTTGTATGATTAGATTTTACAAAATTAATACAATTTTTTTCAAATTAATTAAAAAAAAACGACGCGCTCCAAGCGTAGACGCGACGCTTGCCACGCCATCCTCGATTTTTTTATTGGTCATCCCGACTAATTTTGACATTTTGAGTTCATTTGTATGATTGGATATAACAAAATCAATGTTTAAAGTCATGTTTTGGACATCAATAGATCTGTTCCAGAGTGGAAATAACAAAAAATTCATGCAAAATTTCTAGATTTTTTTACTAAACTTCGAGAGGTCATAACTTCTTCATTCAAGACCAAAATCAACGATCTTTATACCTTTTGAAATGTTTCGAGAAGATTTATCAAACCATATCAAATGAGAAGCATGAAACATAGTGTGAAATAAGTTATCATGTGATGAAGTTTTGGATTTTACTATCTTTCATGCAAAAAATCGGATTTTCATCCAAATTTTGAAAGACCGCAACTTCTTCATTTCAATGTCAAAATTAATGATCTTTATACCGTTAGAAAGGTCTCAAGAAGATCTGTCTAACTATACTAAATGAGAAGCATGAAACTTAATGTACAAGAAGTTATTTTGTGATGAATTTTCGGGTTTTACAACTAGGATTTTTCTTCCAAAATACAAACCCAAACGATGTCAAATTTTGTAAACATGTTCTACACGGTAACAAGAATATATACTATAAATTTCACGAATTTATGTAGAGTATTTCATAACTTTCCGTTAAAGGTGCTCAACCTTTGAAGAAAAATGACGTTCTTTCACTTTCATCATATCAAACCATTTTCAACGTGTTATATGCAAGGAAAACAACATTTAAGGCTTAGATACCATTGTAATACTTCGAAGCATACTTGAACATAAATTTGGGTCAAGATATTTATTTGAAATGATGAATTCCAAGATCTTTTGAATTATTGAATCACCTTACTTTCTAGAACTCAAAATCTACAATTTTCTTGCACTTCAATGGTCCAAATCCTGATTACAATGGAAGGGGATTATTAGCCACAACCCAAGTGTCATTTTTTTGTGGATTTTCACGCCAAAAATAGTGATTTTAGGGTCTTTCCAATTTTGGTGTATTTTTACATACGAATTTCACTATTTTCTTGCCATTTTTTTTCTAGATAATAATCATTGAAGATTGTATGAGAGTTAATGGTATTTATAGGGAGTTGTATGTTTGAATTTTCGGTTCAAACCATTTTAATGTCTTGTGGATCGGGTCACCCACATGTGGTGACCCACGACCCGTATTGTCTAACATATTGCTTGGTGAATTTGATTTTTTTTTAATTTGGCGTTGCATTGATGGCGGCAAGGCAATTTTTTGGGTGATTTTGGTGTGTAGCGTCTTGTGCTAAGGTTCAGGGCAGTGGTGGTCTAGTTATTTTTTCAACAATGAAAGCAAGTTGTAACACTATGGTAAGCATAGTGGGGCTAGGGTAGGGGTAGGGTGGCCCGACAATAGCAATGATGTAATATTGAATGTTACGTGCGATGACAATGATGATTCTGTAACATGAAGTGTTACATGTGGTGGTGTGGGCGACGATGAAGGTGATGGTGGTGACGGTGATATTAGTGATGGTGTAATAATGAATATTACAAGTGAAAGCGGTGATGTAACACTGAATATTGCAAGTGGTGGTGACTTTGAGAAGATTGTGTATATAAATGTAACATAATTTAATACTATTAGTGTCTGTGGCAACAACGCTAATGGTGGAGAAAACACGTTTCATAACAATGTAAGGCATTTTGTTACAAATGTATTCTAAAAAATTAAAGAAAAAGAAAAAAGAAAAATAGTATTTGAGGAAAAAAAAACAATTTAGAGGTGTGGAATAATTGAGATGGAATAATTGAGATAATTGTCCCATGGTCTATGAAATTACGTGTCTTTAATTGCTAATTGAAGTTTAAGATACTGAGTTTTAACCACTAAATTTATCCAAACATTGGACGTTACTCACGGCATAACATCCGTTCAAACTTTTAACGATATTAGTGACGAGGCAAACAGAATGCACATGTGACGTCATATCATGGTGTTACCAAATTGTTTCGTCTTCAATTGTTCACTAAGTTTTGAAAAAATGTCTTTGATTGCTCACTAAACTTTGAAAAACGTTATCACTTGCTCACTAAAGTTTGAAGTCGTCGAGTTTTAACCACTAAATTTATAAGAATGACGTCAGTATGTTGTTCGTTAAAAAATGTATACCACAAGCACAAAGGTCATGAATCCTACGAGAAATGATTACTCAATCACACAATATTTAAATTTAATTTTAGCCCTTGTTTGATCCTCATTATTTTCAAAATACATTTTTCTCTCCATTCGTTTCGACCACATATTTTTCAATAAAATAATATTACATGCAAATTCAAAACTTTTATTATTTTTTAACCCACAATTTTCATCAATATGCTATTTCAAAAATGCATTCTTAGCAAAAAAAAAAAAAAAGGACTCAAACGCGTGCTTAACATATTTTTGTAGAATTTTAAGCTATTTTCAAAAATTCAAATTTATTGTTATTTTGTTGTTAAAATTAAATTAAACCTGAATTTTGCAAAGAAATGCACAATAAACTTAGTTAAATAGATTTTGCAACGAAACACGCAATAAATTTAAATAAAATTTGGATTTTGTAACGAAACACACAATCCATTTAATCAAATTTATTGTACGTTTTGTTGAAAATTAAAATTAAAATTCTAATTTAATTTAATTTTAAGAACGAAACACACACAAAAATTGAATTTTTCAAATGATGAAAATAGCTTAAAATTCTACAAAAATATATTAAAATTAAATTTAACTATTGTTTAATTTAGTAATCATTTCTTGTGGGATCGACAACCCGAACTTGTTTCTCACTTTATTAATTTTATGCGACCTGTGCGCTTGCGACATTTTTTGACGAATAATAGGCCGACATCATTTTTATAAGTTCAATGGCGAAAACTTGACCATCCCTCAAATTTCATTGAAGAATCGAAGACCTTTTTTCAAAGTTTAATGAGCAATCAAAAATGTAATAATTTGTTAATGGCGTGACAGAGTGCCACATGTGCATTCCATTAGCCACGTCACTAATTCCATTAAATGTTTGAAGAGAATATTATGCTAATAAGTAACATTCAACGTTTAGATATATTTAGTAGTTAAAACTCAACATCTCAAGCTTCAATGAGTAATTAAAGCCATAAATATAAATTCAGTGATCATTGAGACAATTAACACGGAATTCATCTCAAAACCGAGAAGTAAAAAGAAATAAAACATAGAGCACCTACATATGTTTGATTTAAATAAATCTTAAACAGTGTGAGGACATTTGAAAAAAAATATATATATAGACATTGATACCCTCTCCTTTTTGGTCATGTGAGGCGCACATAGGGTGAAAAACTAGTCGAATCGTTCATTGGTTCATGGGTTAGGCTTGTTTTGAATCGTTCGTATTCATATTAACACGAGCCATCGATCGAGTCGAGCTCGATTTTCTTCACTAGTCGACCCATGAGCTAACTTGTCTTGGGTTTACTCGTCTTTTTATTTATTTTATTAATTTAAAAAAAAAATATGAACCAAAAAGACTTTGGGTCAGCTCGAGCTCGGCTTATAATCAAAGGAGTAACAGGGCCAAGACGAGCTTTGTTTGTGGACAAGAGTCGAGCCCAAATCGATTGCCACCCCTATGCACACATGACAAATTAATGAATTTGATAATCGATAAGGACCATAAGAGCCAAATATGCGAGGATGAAGATAGTGATGTCAATAAATAAAGGTTGGAGATAGGAGTGTAAAAAAGGTAAAGATGAGGATAGCAACTGTGACCGCGGTTTTTCCAAGTTTTAAAACTTAGCTAATAGTATAGAGATTATCTATAAATTTAGAGAGTTAAAATTTTGGAGTACTCCAATAAGCTTTTTATATTTAACATTTAATTTTATTACTCTCAAAAAATATTTATTATTTTTCTTTATCTTTTATTTTAAATAGCATTTCTTTAAATTGTTTTATTGTTTCCTAAATTGAAAATTGAAACACTTTAAATGTATTTAATTATAAAAAGTAAGTTACAGTCAAATCCACTCTTTGAATTAAATAGCAGTGTGATTTTAAACGTTGACTCTTTAGAATAGGAGTAATGTTTTTTAGCGGTATGGAAATACTGTCAGTGACGTCACATTATGATAGGTTATCCCCATGAACAACATTACTCTTAAAATAGATAGTAAGAGATGCTCTAAACATTACAAAACTGTCGATTAGATAGAGTGCAGCAGCAAGATGCGAAATTGATTTCCAGAAGCAGTAGTAATGGAATCGATTGTGCAAATGCCGTACGATGCTACAGTTCGCCTCATGCTGGCTTCACACGAACGCAATTTGCTGCCGGACGTCGTTATACGACGCCTCACTCGCCTGCTTCTTGCCAGTCGCCTCCGGTCCGGTTATAAACCCTCCGCTGAGCTCCAATTGTCCGACCTCCTCCACTTCGCGCACAGTACAGTCTAAAATTTCTCGATTACACTCTCGAATAGTTAAAAATTAATGTTTATTATATTTTTTTGAAATGGATTTAGTTGCTGTTTTACGGTCTGATCGATCCCTGAAGAAAATGTTACTGATTGTTTTTAATCTGTGTAACTTTCGAGGAAAAAATTATATTTAGAACTGTTCACATTAGTTTTCAAGTAGACAGAATTGAAAATTAATTTTTGAACTAAATATTTATTGCATTTTTTGCGCAATGCTTGTAAACTTGCTGCTTTACAACTTGATTTGCCTTTGGTAGTGAAATGGAAAATTCTCCAAGCGTAACGTGTTAATGTTTTATTTGTAATTTGTTTAATCTTGAGACAGGAACTTTTATTTATAAATGTTAACATTAATTTCTCGAGTTTGACATGTATTTTTAAAAATGTGAATGTTAATTTTACAATTAATATTTATGAAGTTTTAGTTAAATGCTAATAAAATTGTTTTTTGTCCTGCTTGATTTGAGTGACTTATTGAAATGGACTATTCTTGAAGGGAAATCTGTAGCTAATTTGTTTAGTTTTCAAAAAGAAAAAACTTATATTAAAAGTGAAACTTTTGGAGAGAAGATTTTATTTCTCTTATTCTTCAATTGAAAGAATACAGCTCTATATATACTAAATGCAGAGACAAATCTGCTGTAATAAAGCACAATAAAATCCCATAATTATGGGAGATAATCTCTCACAAAATCAGGGAATAAAATAAGGAAATTTTGACTAGGTAATAGGGAATCTCTAAAATAAGGAAAAGTAATTAAACTATCCTAAAATCAATCCACAAATTACAACACTCCCCCTCAAGCTGGGTTGTAAATATTGGTTAAACCTAGCTTGGACTTCAATTCCTCAAATTTGATTCTAGGAAGTGCCTTGGTAAAAATATCTGCTCTTTGAAGTTCTGTTGGAGTATAGACCAAAGAGACTGTCCCCTCTTCTGTTTTTTCTTTGATGAAGTGTCGATCTATCTCCACGTGTTTCGTTCGATCATGGTGAACCGGATTCTTTGCAATGCTAATAGCAGCTTGATTATCACAAAACATTTTCATAGGACTTTCAATTGAAATTCTTAGCTCCTCTAGAACCCTTTTCAACCACATTCCTTCACAAATTCCATGAGCCATAGCTCTAAACTCTGCCTCGGCACTGCTTCTTGACACAACTGATTGTTTCTTGCTTCGCCAAGTAACTAAGTTTCCCCATACAAAAGTACAGTATCCAGAAGTAGACCTTCGATCAGTTATAGAGCCAGCCCAATCCGCATCAGTGTAAATGTCTACATTTCTTCTTGTAGTCTTACAAAAATAAAGTCCTTTGCCTGGTGTCATTTTAAGATATTTTAGTATCCTGTAAACTGCGTTCATGTGTTCTTCAGTTGGGTTATTCATGAATTGGCTTACTGTGCTAACTGCAAAGCTAATATCTGGTCTAGTGTGGGATAAATATATGAGCTTTCCCACTAGCCTTTGATATCTCCCTTTGTCTACTGGTGTGCTATCTTCCATAGAGCCAATTTTGATAGTGCAATCCATAGGAGTGTCCACCGGTTTACTCCCTAACATCCCAGTTTCTTTTAACAGATCTAAGACATACTTTCTTTGAGAAACAGCTATGCCTTTCTTTGACCGAGCAATTTCCATTCCAAGGAAGTACTTGAGATTCCCTAAATCTTTGATCTCAAATTCTTTGGCCAACTGATATTTTAGTCTACACATTTCATCATCTTGGTCTCCAGTTAGAATGATATCATCCACATACACAATAATTATTGCTATTTTCCCCCCAAGAAAGTGTTTAACGAATAAAGTATGGTCTGATTGACATTGAGTATAACCATACCTTGTAACTGCCTTCGTGAAGCGGTCGAACCAAGCCCGAGGAGACTGTTTGAGACCATAAAGAGATTTTCTGAGTTTGCAAACTTTGTTGATGTTTCCTTTTGTTTCTAGGCCAGAAGGAATATCCATATACACTTCTTCTTCTAGATCACCGTTAAGAAATGCATTCTTAACATCAAGTTGATGGAGTGTCCAATCTTGATTTGCTGCTATGGATAACAATACTCGGATTGTGTTCAACTTTGCAACAGGAGCAAATGTTTCTTGATAATCAACTCCATATGACTGAGTGTACCCTTTTGCAACCAGTCTTGCTTTAAATCTGTCTATGCTCCCATTTCCCTTGTATTTGACTGCAAATATCCATTTGCATCCAACCGTCCTCTTTCCTTTAGGTAAATAGGTGATTTCCCATGTTTTGTTCTTCTCTAGTGCTCGGATTTCTTCTTCAACTGCTGTCCTCCATTTAGGTGATTGAAGTGCTTCCTGAATGTTGTTAGGAATCTGTATATTTGTCAAACTAGTGGTAAAAGCATGGAATGCAGGTGACAAGCCATCGTAGGAAATGAAATTATAAATGGGATGTTTTGTACAAGATCTATCTCCCTTCCTGATTGCAATTGGTACATCCAGATCATCACATTGACTTTCACTAGGAACAGATGAAGATTCAGGGTTACCTGATTGTATTTCCTTTGGTTCTGGATTCGGATCAGCTTCATGACTTTGTTCGAGTTGTGTTCGTGGTGCTATGTCCTCTTGATTCTTCTTCTTTTTTCTAGAATATATAATGACCTCATTGTTATTTGTAAGATTTTCTTGAGACTCAACTTGTAAAGGGTGCAAAGGCTCATATATAGAGTTCATGGATATTTGTGTTGGAAAAATGGAATTGAATTCTGAAGAAGGATTATGGTTGTTTTCAGTTTCCCAAAAAGGATATTCATCTGTTACATTCTCCCCCTGAATATCGATTTTGGGAAAGAATGGTTGTCTTTCAAAAAAGGTGACATCCATAGAGGTGTAGAACTTTCTAGTCCCTGGAGAATAGCATTTGTAACCCTTCTGATTGGCTGAGTACCCAAGAAACACGCATTTTATAGCTTTAGGATCCAATTTACTTCGGTGTTGAGAATGTACATGGACAAACACTGAACAACCGAAAACCTTTGGTGGAATATTGGAGAAAAGTCTAGTGTTGGGATGAGTTCTCAGAAGGACTTGCATGGGACTTTGGAAGTGAAGGACACGCGAGGGCATTCTATTGATAAGATAAGCTGCTGTGAGTACAGCTTCTCCCCAGAAATATTTTGGCACATTGGTGGAAAACAGGAGAGATCTCGCAACTTCTAATAGGTGTCTGTTTTTTCTCTCGGCGATTCCATTTTGTTGGGGGGTATCTATACATGAGCTTTGATGAACAATTCCCTCTTTTTTCAGAAAATCTCCCAAAATCGAGTTGAAGTAATCTTTGGCATTGTCTGTTTTTAGGACTTGTATCTTGGTTTGAAATTGAGTTTGAATCATAGTGTAGAAATTTTTGAAAATTTGAGTGACCTCCGATTTTTCCTTCATAAGAAACACCCAAGTAAGTCTAGTGTGATCATCAACAAATAAAGCAAACCATCTTGATCCGGTCACATTTTTAATTCTAGAAGCTCCCCAAACATCGCTATGAATCATAGAGAATGGCTTTGAGGATTTATAGTGTTGGGCAGGATAAGAATTACGAACTTGCTTGGCTAACTGACAGATTTCACACTCATAAACATTAGGCTCTTTATTGAATAATGATGGAAAAAGTTTCTTGAGGTACGAAAAATTAGGATGACCAAGTCGATAATGCCATAGCATAAGAGCACTATCATTATTTAAACTAGAAACAGACAAAACACTTTTTTCAAATCCTATCTTTTGAGGCTGTTGTCCAGGCAAATTGGAAGTCTTGATGACATAGAGCCCCGAACACACTCTAGCATTGCCAATCGTCCTCCCCGAATCCAAATCCTGAAAAACACAATCATTTGAGTAACATTTAGCCACACAATTTTTCTCTTGAGTGAGTTTACTAACAGATATAAGGTTACAATCCAGATTAGGGACCAAAAGAACACAATCAAGTATCAAATCCTTAGAGATAACTACAGAACCTGTACCAGAAACTTTGGAAAGAGAACCATCAGCTATTCGAACAGTAAGATTACTAGGACAAGGTTTATAGTTTATTAAGATTGAGGCATCTCCTGTCATGTGATCTGAGGCTCCTGAATCCACTATCCAGAGTTTATTTTCTTTTGTTTTAACCTTTAAAGCACTCAGAAAATTACCTTTTTGTGCTAAAGAACCTGTCCCAATATTTGTGTTGGATGGCTGATGTGGCTGATTGAACAATTTTTGAATAAAATCAATCTGTTCTTTGCTGAATAGTTGTGTTTCTGAAGCAGGAGCATCTTGTACAGAGACTTGATTTGCTCTTCCTTTCCTTTCAAATTGGGTACGAGACGGCTTCCAATTAACTGGCTTGCCGTGAATGTCCCAGCATGTTTCTTTATCGTGGCCAGGTTTTTTGCAATGTTCACACCATGGTCTTCCCTTCTTTTGACGATTGTCAGATGGTTGAGGATATGATCCACGGGCTGCCAAAGCTGACCCTTCAATATCAGATTGATGTGGAGAAGACCCAAGCATAAGTTTCTTCCTGCTTTCCTCTCGACGAACTTCAGAAAAGGCTTCACGGATATTAGGAAGAGGCTTTGTTGCTAGGATTCTTCCACGAACCTCATCTAGATTTTTGTTGAGCCCTAGAAGAAATTTATAGATTCTTTTCTTCTCCACAATTTTCTTGTATTTTGCAGCATCTCCTGCAGACTCCCACTCATTTAATTCGTACATATCCAATTGTTGCCAATAACGAGTGAGAAGATTGAAGTATTGGGTGACTGGCTGATCTCCTTGACGCAAGTCATGAAGGATACCTTCAATCTCAAATGATTCAGCCGTATTCTCAAGGTCTGAATATGTTTCTTTTGCTGCATTCCAAATTTCCGTTGCAGTCTCATAGAGAAGGAAATTTTCTCCAACGTCATTATTCATTGAATTGATCAGCCAAGACATCACCATATTATTTTCTGCCTTCCAACTTTTGAATTTTGGATCGTTGATTGCTGGTGATTTGGCTGTACTGGTGAGATATTCATCCTTTCCCTTTCCACAAATAAACATCATGACGGATTGTGACCACTGTAAATAATTTTTTCCATTCAGTTTGTGCCCTGTAATGGAAAGATTAGAGTTGTCCATGCTTCCATAGCTGTTTGAAACTGTGACTTTCTCGGTAGCCATTCCGAAGGCTGGGCCGTATTTGGGCATAAAAAAAAAAGTTTCAAGAAGACTAAAACCGAGTGGAGAGGCAGAAATAATCCTGCTCTGATACCATGAAACTTTTGGAGAGAAGATTTTATTTCTCTTATTCTTCAATTCTCTATATATACTAAATGCAGAGACAAATCTGCTGTAATAAAGCACAATAAAATCCCATAATTATGGGAGATAATCTCTCACAAAATCAGGGAATAAAATAAGGAAATTTTGACTAGGTAATAGGGAATCTCTAAAATAAGGAAAAGTAATTAAACTATCCTAAAATCAATCCACAAATTACAACAAAAAGTATCACATTTTCAGGTTTGACATTATTTATAATGTTTATTACATATGTCCAATGCTTATAAATTTGCTCTTTTACTGCTTGACTTGAGTTTCATAGTGAAATGGACGATTCTCAAAGAAAAATCTTTTGCTAATTTATCTTTAATTTGTTTAATTTTGAGGAGAAGACTTTAAATTTAAAAATGTTCACATCAAATTTTCAAGTTTAAGTTATGTTCAAATGAAAAGATCAATGAATTGATATAAAATATGGATATGAGAAATTGCCCATTTGAACTCAATTATAGCCAAAGTTATTAGTTTGTTCTTATTAGGCTGTCTTCATAGTTCATTCTTGTTTTGTATTTCCAGTACTTTTGTTTAAGCCTCTTCAAGATTTGGTGATGTAGATGAGATGGAAAATAGAGTAAAATGGAAATGAATTCACGCTACTAATATCTCAGCACAGGGGCATACTGATACAAGAAAACATACCAATGTAATGCATGCATTCTTTTCAGCCATGCCTAATGAAATAGGTTTGTCTAAGGATTTTAGAACATCCTAGCTCAGATTTTAACCATGCCAAGATGTTCTGGCTGATTACCCATAGTAAATCAACTTCCCATTTTCCCCTATCCTTCCAATTTTTGTGTAATTTTTATGTCACATGGTTTATATGAATCAAAGGAGCTAGGTCAATGCTGCTAGACATTGTATAGTAATTCCCTATCAAAAAATACTTTGTTAAGAGGGTGTTTGAGCCCCATTACTTTTTAAGAATGTATTTTGGAATAGTAGATTGATGGAGAATGCGTGGTTAAAAAAAAAGGTTTCTTATTTGCATACAATATTATTTTAATGAAGAATGTGTGGTTGAAAAGAAGACATAGAAAATTGTATTCTGAAAAAAATGGAAATCAAACGTCCCCTAAGTGTACATTTAAGTGCATTTCGAAAAATGTCAAAACGGCATCCAATGTGAATTTTCTGCACTGTTAGTCATGCTAGAGTACAGGTAATTGGGAGTTGTTGTTGCATTTTAGCGCCTATCATGCTATGATATCGTATTGGAACATATAGCATGACCAAATACCAATAAGAATTGGTAATCTGGCCCTAATTAGGTTTTTGATTTGTCAATGTGGAACTTTTGCTTCACTGAAAAGTATCTACTCTAATTGCTCTTTCCTTGCAGCATTAAGAGAAATGCCAATTGCCATTAAGACAGAAAGGCCAAAATCCCAACATTATGAAGTTCCAACATCGTTCTTCAAGCTTGTTCTTGGAAAGCATCTTAAATACAGGCAAATATTTCCATATTCTCTGAAATTTTATTCTTGTAATATAAACATCTTTCACGTTGATGTTTAGTATTGGAGTTTGGTTTTTTAAATTTGAAGACTTAAAGGCTTGCTCTTTATGGGAGATTTTGTTTCATGATAATCTGCAAGTCATTGACTCTGTGTTGGGAGCTTATCAAGGTATGAATGCATGATTTGTTGCAGTTGCTGCTTCTTTTCTGACAAGTCAAGCACCTTAGAGGATGCTGAAAAGGCAATGTTAGAGCTGTACTGTGAGAGGTCGCAAATAAAAGATGGCCATACTGTTCTTGATGTTGGATGTGGCTGGGGATCACTAGCTTTCTACATCGCAAAGAAATATCCCAATTGCCAGATTACAGGGATTTGCAATTCAGTGACCCAGAAAGCGTACATTGAGGAGCAATGCCGGTATTTTTCCTTGATAATTTATCTTATATAAAATGTGGAGTCTTGCTTCATGTACAGGGGTCTGTACATATTTTTTGCGAGATTGCCACGTGTCACCATTTCGTTGGTCTGTTTTTATCTGTTTTTTTCCCAACACTCAATACAGTTTTTACACCTGGCTCCCTGGCACCAAACCCTGGCAAAGTCCCCTGTGCAAATGGTTTTACCCTAAAATATGCCATTTAGGCATAAAATTCTTGCTGATTGACCTTCGTATGCCACATAATTTATTGTGCTTGTAGGCAGTTCCTTGTTTTTTTTCAAAAAAAGATTCCCTACATAATTAAAGTTTAGCATTAGTTCCCTTGTTTGGCATTATTTCAGCCAGGTACAAGGACTGCGTCCAAAACATAACTTTGCACTCTTATTTTACATGGAAGTGTGGGAAGTGGACAAAAATCTTTTAGAATATTTTGATTCCTTGACTTCGATAGCATATTTTACCTACAAATATGTCCTTTAGTTTTGCTCCATCTGAATCCTCCTCAATCTCCATGTAAAAGCCTTGAATACATCTATAGTCTATCTCTATATTGATTCTTCAAGCTTGGCTTGACTAATTAATCCAATTTGTCCATCTGAAAATCATTTCACCAGATTTAAGTTCTTGTTTATCTCCAGCTTCGAATGTATGGATGATTTGGGGGGATTTCTTAAATCCTTGTTCCTCAACAATGCTTTGCTTTACTTCCAGCTTTGGATCTACGCCTCATAACCTTGGACCTGTGAAGTGTTCAACAAAATAATAATATAAAATATATTTAAAAACAAATAAACTAACAGAAAAGGAATTATTAACAGGGAAAAAATTGTTGAAAGGACTCTTTTCAAAATTCTGTTTGGTCAGGTTTCTTCCTCTTTTTGTGTTTATTATCAACTTTTTGAAAAGTAGCTGCCGGGTTTCTTGTCTTTAGAAGAGGATTCTTCTGCACCTCTCTCCCTTGCTTTAGTCAATATCAGGATTGAATTTAAATCTCTCATATGCAAAGGTCTTGAGTTCGAATCATGTGGGGACTCGACTGAAAGTCATGATAGGTGATAGGGGAGAGGTAATAGGGAAGATGATGTCCCAAAGCAGACATTATGTATAATATAACGACTTGGGCACGGAGGTTCGGGCCATTACACGACCTTTGCTTTCTAGTCAAACGTCTCTACTTTGAGCTTCAATTTTTCATTTGACCGAGCACAATTTTGAGCAAGTGGATATATGATTTCGATGTTCTTGTGGACGAGAACCAAATCTACTTTAATCTCACAAGAACTAGAAGTGGCCACTCAAAATTATGCCAAAACCCAGCCATTTTCCAGCATGAAGTCCTTTCGACACTTCAACGTTGAATCTCATCAATACTTTGACATGTGAAGTTAACATCGATGTTTGAAATGTGGTATATCTTTCTGGAATCATTCCAAGTCTCAAATGCTCAGTCTTTACTAACTTATGAGTAGCTTAATGATTTATTATGATCAAAACTTGGTTTATATTCTGAAGGTAATCCATTAAGATTTTCTTAACACCTATTTCATTTGCATGGTAATTTTTTAAAACCCTCTTGTATACCACTCTCAGCTCTTATAGGAAACTGGAGCAAGATCCATCTATTTATTTATTTTTACATACATTTAAGGCCTATATTGATTTCCTTCTTTTTTCCTATTTTTTTCCCCAAAACAAAACCTGTGGTGAGACATTCCTTCTGACCTTAATTATTTTGCCTCACAGGGATCTTCAAGTGCAGAATGTTGATATCATAGTTGCAGATATTAGCACGTTTGATATGGAAGCTTCCTACGACAGGATATTTTCTATTGAAATGTTTGAGGTGCTTAATCCTTGTCAATTTCTAAACTAGGCCATGAGGTTTGGGGAGGATGATAAACTTGTTTTTTCTTTGACAAACAGCACATGAAAAACTATAGGGACCTTCTTAAGAAGATATCCAGGTGGATGAATCCAGATGGTCTTCTTTTTGTCCATTATTTCTGCCATAAAAAGTTTTATTCTTTTAAAAACAACATATGAAAAACTATCAAGACCTTTTTACGAAGATATCAGGTGGATGAAACCAGATGGTCTTCTGTTTGTCTATTATTTCTGCCATAAAACATTTGCTTACCACTTCGAGGTAATCTTGCGTGATTGTTTTTCATTTTTGTCGTTGGAACTGAAGGTCGAAGGACATTAGATATTGTTGATTCCTGCTTGGTGCTGAATTCTTCTCTTCAATTAAACAAAGAGAGATTAAGTAACCATATCAACAATTCTTTTGCAGGATGTCAACGAAGACGATTGGATCACTCGGTACTTCTTCGATGGAGGCACGATGCCATCAGCAAACTTGCTCCTTTATTTTCAGGTGAGCTTACCACAAACCATGTTCTTGAGGATGACACGATGTTATAAATGGTTTTCTGATTTCTACCTGCAGTTTCCTTGAAAATGAGCTTTTGCTACACCTTAAGATGTAGCCAAGTAAACATCTGTTTCAATTAGAAAAGAAAAAGAGAAAATGAAGAAACTGTTAATGTCAACGCCTCAAGGAAAATTTACACGATCCTCTATTTCCCTGAAGAGACTAAAGAACATTATCCCAGTAAAACACAAAAATTAACAAAGTATTTGCTTAAAAGAAAATGAGAAACGAACTTTTCTGGGATTTTTGTTAGCACTGGGGCTCTAATTTCATTGATGATATTTTTACGATTGGAACTCTGAGGCCAAGTATGACTAGCTACTGCTGGTTCTTGTTTAATATGCAGGATGATGTGTCTATAGCTGATCACTGGCTTATTAACGGAAAGCATTACGCACAGACAAGGTAGGGATCGATTTTGCAAAGTTATTAATAACACTTCTCGAAATATGACTATGAGAAAAGTTTGAGTTTGATATTGGAATGTTACATGAATCCTATGAAAATGCTGAGCTAACAATTGTGCTTGCAGTGAAGAATGGCTCAAAAGAATGGATAAGAACTTGAATTCTGTGAAGCCAATGATGGAGACAACTTATGGCAAGGATTCAGCTGTTAAGTGGACTGTCTATTGGAGAACATTTTTCATTGCAGTTGCTGAACTATTCGGGTACAACAATGGAGAAGAATGGATGGTTTCGCATTTCCTCTTTCGGAAGAAATGACTAGTAGTAAATTCTCAAACTGCAGATCCATATGGTGAACATGCAGTTTCAAAATTTCTACCATTTGGAGGTATTCAATGACTTGCCGAATTACTAAATATGACGTCACCTTAAGTATTTTATTATGTATGCATGGGTCGAATTTATTTAATTGTGAACTTCGTATGCTATACATTATTAATTTATTAGATCCAAATTCTTGCTTCACTTCTAATAAATGCCTTGTTTGTTCACTGATCTGATTCAGGGGATTATTACTCCATATCTTGTATAAATTTTAAAATTTTCTTGCCATGATGCTAAACTTAACATTGTTTAGCCCATGTTTGGCACAAATTCTATAAAAATAATTTCTTTAAACTCATTTTTAATTACGCATTATTTCAATAAAATAATTTTGTACATGACATATAACTTTTTCTTACATTTTAACCATGCATTCTTCAAAAAAATATTTTTAACAAAATCTAGTCTCAAAAAATCTACATTAAATGGTATGATTGCGCATTTGATGGACGTTGCAGTAAATATATCAATAGATTAAACAGAACAAAAAAGAAATACTCGGGGCACAATCTATGCATCTTTGATACATGTATACCGAACAGACTAAACGTACTGGACAAGATCATCAATGATAATTAAACTTCAAAGATTTGCCCTGTTTATACAGCACCAAGTTGTTCGAGTAACACAAAGTGATACGCCTCACAGAGCCTTTAACTCGGAGGCATAATGACCAATAATAATGCCCTACTAGATCATAGGGATTCCCAGGGGCTCCTATCCTACTTCAAAATAGCTAGGATATACATATTAGTAGAATATGGCGTGTCCCAAATGGTACAGATACTAAAGGACGTTGTAACCCTAGTCGAAAACTATAGGGCTAAACCATGTTTAACAGATTAAAATTACATTCTAAAGACATAAATGAAACGGTCAGACGAATAAAATAGAGTTGTGTTAGCTTCTGCTCTTGATCTTTCTTTGGGATTTCAAGTCCACGACAACTACGGAAATGTTGTCTTTGCTGCCCTTCTGAAGAGCACGGTTTGATAGATACTCGGCTGCTGCTTGAGCTGCTGGATCAATTCCTTCACCCCTTTCTACGGGAAGATTGATGCTGTTATTTTTATGCCAGACAAGTATCCTTTTACGAGCCATATCACAAACCTCCTCGTTGGTCATGACATCCCATAAACCATCGCTAGCCAGAATGAGGCATTCGTCTTCCCTAGTCCGGGGAATAAAAACCACTTCGGGATCTGGAATAATCCAGGGTTTCAAATATCTGTCCCCTGCAACATCCAAGAAAAGTTGGAACATACTAAAATGCTAGTTTTCCATTAACAAGATTGTAACTCAAGGCGCATATACGTATTAACTACAATTTCAGTTGCAATTGCACCACTGAGTCACTCTACTTACATGTACACTATATACATCGTCCTACACTGGCCGACGTGTTAGAAAGATAGGTTCGTAATTGTTTCACGTCTTTAGACTTCTAAATGTGAGGCAGCCCGATAAACTTTGGCTCCATCTCACTAGTCGGATAATCAGAAGAAAATGTTACTGACATTCCCATTTAAATCTTCTTTCATTTTCTTCTGATTAGGCAGTACCGTACAATCCACCTACCCAAAAAAGCCATATATGATTTGCCATGTCTCCCAGCATGCCAAACTTCCCCATCCCACCAGGAAATAAAGGTAAAGAGAAAACCGGAAAACAAAATAGTCTCCTCAATGAACTGACAGCAAATATTAAAATGAGGCATATAAATGGTTTTTCATTCTATATCCAACACCGAAAGGTGTTAACCCCACAAGTATTTGCATTCAAAGAGATGATCAATCCAAATAAGGTTTTTCATTCAACATCTGCCGTCTCATTGCAGAGCACCTATTCATGTGGTAGATTATAATACCATGAAATATTTCGAATTAAAAAGATATCTATGCAAAGTTATTTACTTCATAATGGAATATATATAACTACAAGAAACAGAAAAAATATCCTTAAAGGATATCAGGTACTCTACGGGAGCAGGTGAGTTTCGATGCACACTAATTTGAAACTGACAGAATGGGAATGACCGAAAAGATAAAGATAGTGAAATTTGTACCGATAGATCTAGACATTGCAAGGACACCAAAAACACGATGCCCATTCCATTGAATCACTTTTCCTCCGGCTGCTTCAATTCTTGCATATTCATCTTCCCTATTAGGCTAACAGAGGAAACAAAAGGACATAAGCTCATCATGATTACAGAATAAAAATAGATTTATAGCATGTTTGGCTGTGCTTAAATATTACTTCTGACTTACTTTCTAGAATAGTATGTTTTTTAGTAAAGAAGTAACTACGAAAATCATGTTTGACAAAATAAGTAACTTAAACAGCCAAACATGCTCTTTGCATGCTTACTTTATGATCCACAGACAATGCCATGGGTTCTTTCCCACGGCACAAGACTGCCCTTGAATCGCCACAATTAGCTACTATAATGTGCGATGAACAAACTATCGCAACAACAGCAGTCGAGCCAACAGTTTCCGGACCGACTGGTTCAATACTTGCTTTCCCTCCGATTTCGTCATCAACTTTGAGAAAGCACTTGATGAATGCTCTTCTCCACTGCTCTTGGCAGTTACCTTTACTACTTTCATCAATCGGATTGGCCATAATTGTTTCCAATTCCTCGGCCAAAGCCATATGCATTCGCTCCCGACAGTAATTTGCAACCTGAAAATAAGATGCCAATACCATACCTCAAGCACAACAAGTTGATAGTTGTCAAACAAAGGGTGCCCATTGTTGGGCATTCATACTTTTTTTTTAAGGTCACCCTAAATCCTATGTTGTATAAAAGGAATCTGAGGAGGGCCGTTTCTCTATGCATGAAACAATGACACAGAGCTGTCACATCTCCTATTGTAAAGCTTCTTGATTATAGTGAAAAAATTTCAACACTGAGGGACGAACTCTATAAATTTGTGTGTTTTTGTAGTTTCTCTATTTTCTTTTGCAATTGAAGTAAGGGTTTAAGATTTAATCCGTAACGTCTATCTGACACCAAATATGTGTGCAAGTGTGAGAGGGAGAGAGGGAGAGAGAGAGACCTGAGAGCCTCCATGGCCATCATAGACTCCAAAGAAATGGGTGGTCAAATGACTCAAGCGTTGTGTCTCTCCATCAAGCACGCGAGCATCAATTAGCATCTGCAGAGGAATTTTGAGAAACCTAGGCACAGTTGCCACTGCATCTTCCATTTCTGGTCTCCTCCCACACACAGATGTGAATCCCCAAAGCGGCACATAATCCACCTGAAAAACACTTCGCCTGACTCTTTCACACGAGGTTCCGTCCAACTGAATAACAACTGTTGATTTAGAACCCGAACCATCTGGAACCTCTCCCCTAGCTCTTTCTGCCACAGATAAAGAATTAACAATGATCTCACCAATAGTTGGCTCTCCCACACACAGATCTGTTGCCTTTGCTATGATTTCATAATCACTCGTAGGCTTCTCAACTTCGACAAAATTTGTCGTTCCTATCTCAGAAATTGCCTCAAAACCTAAAAAATCATCACCACATATACTACTAGTATCACTCACCACAGACAGAGAACATGAGCTATCAAGAACAGGATCCCCCTCCAACGATAAGCCATCCTCTTCACTTTCCTGGACTACAATATCCACAGAGAGTGCAGCATCCCTCACACTATGACTCTCTTCAGGCCCCAACAACACTGTAGCCCGAACTTCACTTTCGAAATCACCTGAACTGTAATCCACGCTATCACCGTCGACAGATTTGGACATGGAGTATTTAGTCGGGGAATCCAAAACGAGATTAGTCTTGTCGGCCTCCAACTTTAAGCTAGTAACATCGATATAGTAACATCGATACACCTTTCTGCACTCGGATTATAAAAAATCAAATTGCCTACTTTAAATGGCACCGAAACCGCCAGATGCATATCCTTCATCTAAATCACTTTCAAAACAGTAGTAATAGTCACCCTCCTGCCCCTTTAACCTTACACTCATTGTCATTGTCATTGTCATTGTTATGTTATATTAATTCATCGCCTTCCTCCGATATCGATGAAAATCTCAAAATAAAAAACAAACAGTTTTCCATTCCTCAGAGGATATCATGTATAGCTAGAGCTAGAGCTAGATCAAGTGGTCTTCATTTCACAGTTGATTAGGCATTCCATTCAACCTGAAGAACTTTAAAAGTGAAATGGGTAGTTAGATCTGATGACTAAAAATATAATAACTACCATTTGTAACAAATTTCACCATCAAATACAGGGAACATGAACAAAAATTATAAAAATCCCACAAATTCAATCGAATTACTCAAATATATATATATAGGCAAAACAATGAAATTAAGCTCAACCCTTTATCCTTGACAACGAACACAAGAAAAGAGAGAGAAAATAAAAGCGTTCATGTGAAAGAAACGTAGGAAAGCAAAGGAAGGGCAAAGTTTCAAGAATCACAAGAAAAATCTGAAAAGATAAGCACTTTTTTTTCACATAAAACCCCGAAGCTGAAGTTACCCCAAGTCAACCCCTTCCTGACATCTGATAACTCTCTTTTTCAACCAATAATCACTTCTTAACTTGCTTCAATATACAACCAAGAAAATAAGTGGAAAAACTAATTATAAGTTATAACTAGTATCTTTTCCGTTTATGAGAAAGCTTAGAACAAACCCACCTTCTACGGTTTCCACTTCTTTGAAATGAGCTAAAAACAGGGGAAAAATCATTAAAGAATCAAGAAAACAATAAAATGGGGTCTCTTCTCTCATAATAATTTTAACTTTTGGCTGAATCTAGTAAGAGCAACGGAAAGGGTGTGTATAAATAAAATAGAAAATACTAAGATTTTTAATTGTAGTTATTAAATGCAGAAAGGGAGAGACGAAATGGACAGATGTCAAATCTTGAAGAGCATATTAAAGCATCTCCACCAGTTTTTTATATGCGCCTTTTCCTTTCCGTTTAGCCATTGAAAAGTTGAAACCTTGTTTGTCACTCAATTTACATCCGCTTCATTTCTTGAATTTTATTTTATTTCAAATTTGTCATTGAATTCAGTTGCTTGCTTGCTTGCTTAGGGCGAGACAAAATTGACCTAGCCAATTGGAATAGAAAAGATATTTAAATTTATTATCTTACTCAAAATTTGAGAGTCGACATCACAAATGATTATCTGATATAACGTCAGCATAGATGTTTTCTGTGTCACACGTACGTCAAAAAACTTAATTCGATACCATTAGTAATCCCGAAATTTTTATTTATATGGTAGTTCCAAAATACATAATTCTAATTAAAAAAAAGAAGCATATTTGAAAAAAGATATGTAATATGAAATATATGGAGATATTGTCAAAAACATTTTATTATAAGTTATTTTTTGTATGATAAAGAAAAATCAATCAAAACATGTCTAGAAAGATAAAAATTTACTTGCAATTAACTTTTTGCATTTCTTCAAACTTGATTACTTAACCAAATATGTTCACTGTTTAACATTTTTCTAAGTTATAAAGATTATAATTATTTCGAAACTGCTCATAGAGAACAAAAATAAAATCAAATTTAACTTATGTATTGAATTATTTATAGGGAATTTGATTGGTTTTATTATGTTTTGGGTTGGAGGGTTTATCCGTAATTGGATTAAAACACCGTTTAGTTTTTTGATTTCAGATGGATGAGGTGACCGTGTTGGCTGAAACAATCAAAAATTTTGTTGTGGTTGATATCACTGAGTTGTACGAATTGTATGACCATCACCGAAATTGTCACGTTCTTCTTCAGGAACAAACACATTATAATTCATCAACAAGAAGAATAAGAGTTTATCGACATCAGTGGGACTGTTTACTGCCTAGTTATTGCTCCTAAAGATTACTCTACAGACAACTTTTACGTGGTATATTTGCTTTTAATTCTGTAGTGTGTATTCCAATGTCTAAACCATTAACATTTCAATATCTTTGCGGAGTTTATACTTTAAAAGATTTGGGAATGTTGAGTAGCTCGTGAGCGAGGGATAGGTCCCTCGAGCTTATAGACTAGCTTGTTGTTTTCCCAAAATCTTAGCCACCAAGCACTTGGCACCTGTTTTGCAAAGCTTGAAAGGTTCCCTTACAAGTAGTAGAATGGCTTTCCATCTGTGTTCCTTTGTTCACTAAAATATTTCATCAGTAATCATTTTTGGAGGATATTGTACATCCCAATAGATTTTACGTGAACAATGCTTAGTGTACAATAATTTGGACATTATCATTGACAACATGTCCGTGGCATGATATCATTTGACAGTTTAAAATCAATTCATCATTTCAACCAATATTTTTTTTGGGAAGTGCTATGTGTACATAGATGTACACATAGGAGATGATATAATTTGAGTGGGGTGGGATCCACGCTACAGTATCGTGGGTTCCACCTCACTCACATTATGTCGACCTCTATGTATACACCTATGTACACATAGATTAATCATATTTTTTTTGCCACATTCAACATTGTCAGAAATGTTGTACAAAAATATTGTACAGATAGCATAATTCAAATCTTCAAAGAAAAGATTGAAGAAAATACTCAATTTCTGACAAAAAACTCTGGAGATAGTGATGAAGCCACCGCGGCTGCTAACCTTCTTGAGAACTTGAGCATCGAAAGCAAAGATCAAGATGAGAAACCAAATGTCAAAGAGCACTTGCATCCTCGGAGGGGATATAGGACGAAAACGAGCAGAAGGAAAGATTGGGAGAAAAGAAGTAATGAGTTCAGTGTTCTCGTCTAAGTTTTCGAGAATTGACATAATGGATTCATTCAGGTGAATGGTGTGGTCGTGGTCATGGTCATGATAATTGATCATATATTATGAATACGAGAATACAATGTCTCGAGATGGTTTGTGTTGACACACTAAAAGTGCAGTCCAAATTAAATGGCCCAAAGAGCGAAACTCAATTGAGAATCCAAGATGAAAGCTCAAGCAAAGGGTATTATTGAAAAATGTAAAAGTCCACAAACAAAGGAACGCCGTCGCCCAAACTTGCAGAACGCCCAAATGTTGAGCGAATAAAGTACCCCTATGGACGCCCAGAGCAAATGAGTCGTCGCCCAAATTGTTGGGTCGCTCAGAATTCTAGCAATGACTAAACCCTGTTTTTATCTAAAGTCACGATTTAAGGCG